GAACTTTTTGTGAATAACTGCCTTTGTTGTGCCCAGAATAAGAAAAGGACTTCTAAAACACCAGCCTATAGAGGGACCTTGGGTCAGGCTCCAAATTGATTTCATAGGGCCACTTCCTAGGACATCTAATGGCAACTCATATTGCTTGGTCGTCGTGGACCAAGATGGCGATTGCGACATGCTTCTCCAGGGTGGTGGTGAGCTGGGTGTCATGTCTCCGGAGGGCGGGGGCGGGGGCAGGCCAGGCACACAGCTCCAAAAAGATGGCCTTCAGCATGAGGAAGTTTTGGAACCACTGTTGGTCGTCCCACCGCTCCATGACCAGTCAGTCCCACCAGTCTGAACTGGTGTCCAGCCTCCAAAAATACCTCTCCACTGTGGGCTGCGATTGCCATAATTTAGCTCCCGCACTCAGGGTCGACCTCATGCACAACCAGGAAGGCAGCTGGCACAAAGTGCTGCAAAAACTGCAGCATGGCAGTGTGGGGCCATCAAATGCCCAGAGGCAGCTCTGGCTCCATGGCACCAAGAGAAAAGCTGTGCCATCCAAAAAAGCAGAGCAACCATGGCATGCACTGAAAGAGCTTTGCTGTCCCTTGAAGAGGTAGTGAACACACAGCAGCAGTATAGAAACAGCTATCCAGGGGAGACCCTTTAAGTGTGTGTCTCTGCAAGGCACCAGCACAGGGAAGCAACTAGTGACCTAAAGCCCTGGTTGAAGTGGTTCTGGGTGGCCTTTTATGCGAAAGAGCATCGAATCAGTCTGGATGCTATCTGTCGAAAAAGCACATTGATTTTTTGATGCACTTCTGTGTGTGGATGTGCTCTTTTGGAAGAAGATTTTTCAGAAGATCTCTTTTGAAAGAAGCTTCTTCCAAAAGATGCCTGCAATCTAGACATAGCCTGAGACTCACCTCAGAGCAGTAAGCTTGAATCCACATTTTATTGTTGGAGATATGCTGTAGTCCTCCAGGGAACTCAGCCTATAGAGAATGGGGCCATATTACAATTCCCAAAAGGCAAGGGCATTGTAGTTTATTGTTGTTATGATATGAAAAGAATGAATTTAGGTCTATTCAACAAAACAAAATAATTCAATTTAAGGAATCTCAGTGTTTCATTTCAATCAAAAATGTCAGAACAGACTGTTTTACGTTTCAGAATAGTTTTTCAATAAATTTCAAATCTTCATCCTGTTTCAGGAAGAAACCAAATATAGAAATATTGGAGTTCCCCATGGAATGGAAATTCTGAATTTTACTCAGTTCTCATAAATAGTTGCATTTTGAACCTACCAATCTTGGAGCACCTCTGGTCCTGGGAATCATGCCGTATACTGATCTCATGTTTTAGATCTCTCAGCTTTTGCTAAAGAAGTATTAATCTCTCAGTAAGGCTGAGGTGGCTTGAGGTAAAGACGAGGTAGTCAATTCAACTGGTATAAACTTGACAAAGTTCATAGAAGTACGCCTCTCAATTTAATAGTTTATAATTAATATTTAATTAAAATTCAGAAATAAAACAGGCAGATGATTTGATCATATGCAAAAGAACAATATCTCTGGCTAATGTTGGCTGACCAATGACAAAAGTAGCATTTCCAAGAGTAGGAACAATATTACTATATAGCGATGGGGCTACAATTAAAAAACTTGTTTTGCTTGACAATAGTATTCCTGTAAGCATCCTTCAGAGAACAGTCCTCTGACAGATACATTTAATGAGCAGCTTTTACTCCTTTGTATTACTAATGTAAACAGTAGGTGGTATTCATCACCAATAATTGATTTCCTTGCAGTTTCATGAACCACTTAGAAGGAAATGTTTGACCTTGGTCAGAAAGAAAGAAAACAAAAAATTAGTATCAATGAGCTATGTAAATACTGCAGATCCTTACATTAAGGCTAGTGCTGTGATACCCAGTAGTCACATCCTTTAAGAACATAAGAATGGCCATACTTGGTCAGACCAAAGGTCCATCTAACCCAGTGTCCTGTCTTCTAACAGTGGCCAATGTCAGGTGCCCCAGAGGGAATGAACAGAACAGGTAAATATACTGAGGCTCATTCCTAGCTTCTGACAAACAGAAGCTAGGGACATCATTCTGGCCCATCCTGGCTAATAGCCATTGATGGACTTACCCTTCATGAATTTTATCTAGCTCTTTTTTGAACCCTTGGACTTCAAATGACCCTCTGGGGAGGAGTTCCACAGATTGACTGTACATTGTGTGAAGAAATACCTCCTTTTGTTTGTTTTAAACACACTATCCATTAATTTTTTTTTGGTCCCTAGTTCTTCTGTTATGGGAAGGAGTAAATAACTCTTTTTATTCACTTTTTCCACACCATTCATGATTTTATGGACTTCTATTATATTCCCCCTTAGTTGTCCCTTTTCTAAGATAAAAAGTTATTGTCTTATTAATCTCTCTCCATATGGCAGCCCTAATAATTTTAGTTGCCCTTTTTTGAACTTTTTCCAATCCGGAGATACCATTTTTGAGATGAGGTGATCACATCAAGATGTGGGCATAATGAAGCAATAAGATATTCTTTGTCTTATTCTCTGTTCCTTTCTTAATGATTTCTAACATTCTGTTTGTTTTTTTACTTCTGCTGCACATTGAATGGTTGTTTTCAGAGAACTACCCATAATGACTCAAAGATCTCTCTTTTGAGAGGCAACAGCTAAATTAGTCTGCATGATTTTATACATAGAATTGGGATTTTGTTTTCCAATATGCATTATTTTGCATTTATTAACATTACAATTAGTCTGCCATTTTGTTGTCCAATCACCTAGTTTTGTGACATTCTGTAAATAGCATTTATGTGTTCATCTACAAGTAGCAATCTGTCTTTTAAATTATTCTTTTTCTTTACTGATCCCAGACTGTTTCATATCAAAGACTTTATCTGATATTTCAGCTCAAACACCAATGTGCTTTCTGGTGAGATTTCCTGTTTATAAATGCAACCATCAGTGGAAAGACAGATACAAAGATGTGCTCATGTCTTCTGGTTCCAATCAATGGGAGTTTGGGGATTCGTTGCCTTTTGGGATCAGGTCTATTGCGCAGAGATTCACAACTTTTCCTCTCTATTTTACAAACTTTTTTGAATCAAACTCAAACAATGGTTTGAGCTTGTTCCCATTTTATCCAAATCTGTCTAAGAAATCCTTTGAAAAAGTCCATTAGATATATGAAGACAAAGGTATTTTTTAATTTGGTATGTTTTGGTATGTATCTATAATTAAATTGATACTTCAATTACTTCTTTGCATGCAACTATAGCAGCTTTTGTATATGATAAAGTAGGATACCTCCTACCTTCTAAAGATGAAGTTATTACTTTTGAAGGATAAATGGTCTTTTTAAATTGTTTCTTCCGATTTCTTTGAAAGTAAACCTTTGTGTTTACTGCGCAACATACATTATGTTTTCCCAGCAAATTCCTATGTCCTGCAAGGGGCAAAATAATTCATTAAGTACTGCACTACGAAATTATCGCCGCCAGTAATCTGACCATAAGCAGGGGAGGGGAGAACAACTCTCATCTAACAAATGACTGCTACATGGGTCCGATGCTGTGGCAATACAATTCTGAAGCTCTGATATTCCATGTCATACAAAGCAGTGATGTATACTTTTGCTTGAGGTCCATATTGCATATTTCAGCTGCGGTGTTAAGCAGCCTCAAAACATAATGCAATTATGGGAAATATTAAGCATTGAAAACACTATCCCATTGAAATGAATGGCAACACACTCATTGCCATAGGCCAATAAGCTTATGTGGGCATGAAATTAAGGTTGTGATCATGTTAAAATGTGGGGTTTAAAACATTTGGTTCATACTGCTTCCCCTTGCATGAATTCCACTGTAACAATTCATTTCTTTGTAACTGGTGTGCTGCTTAAAAAATCCATTTTGACAGCCGGAGGGGCCATCATTCATTAGTCTGATACAAGACTCAAACCTTTTCTATCAAGTGAGAAATATTCAGGGGTCTATGGATTAAGCAGTGAACAGGCACTATCCCACTTCAGGCCAAAAAAAAAAACCCACCAACCTTTAATCTCAGTTAGAACTCTGTGACAAAGTATGGTTTTGGCAGCATTTCAACCAACTTCATTGGTGTCTGTATAAGTAGATCAGATTTTAAAAGGATGTCTTAGAAAGTAATCGTTTGATCTACCAGATGGTCCAAAGGTGATTCTTCAGGAGTACTCATCTTTAAAAGCCTGTATAACTATGGCCCTGTCTTTATTTGAATGCTTTGTAGTTCTCCGTCTGGAGCTATCAGATGTGTTGGTGAGTCAGCAGTTAGTGCTGAAGGAAAGCAAACTGAAACCTTCCCATTCCTATGAGAGACATTGTTTAGCCTGAAGCGCTCAGGTGCTTTATCTCCTTTCCTGTGTGTGTTTATTTTCATAGCTGACAAAGCTGCAATGCTTAATTTATTTAAATGTATTCTCGATTGGCAAGGAAAATGTTCATATTCTTTCTCCTCCCCCCATTTTACTTTTCTTGCACTGAAAAATGGTTTATGTAATGGATGAAGGCATAAGTAATAGCGTCCAATTAATTTTTATTACTTTGTAGTCCTTCATGGGGCTTTTTTTGTTCTCATCAGATGAAAGATGGCTATAGTAGTGTGAACTAGAGCACATACCAGAGGCACATCTAGGCTGTTGGACTAATGGCTTACTTATTAATATTCATGAGCCATCTCATTTAGCAGGCGCTCTTGGGACTTGATTAAAGTAAGGAACACTGCTATTGCTGCTGTAGGTGGAAAGAGCTTTATGTACGACACAGCTAGCAGTACCACAGTCTTCGGTTGTCTTTGGTCATGGGCTGTGACTAACTGCAGGAACGTACAGACTCTTGTTTCTAGGGTGAAAGAGAAGCGGGAAGAATGAGGTTCAAATGATCTTTCTGAAGTTTTTAGGTTCACTCTTCTAACATGTGCTTTGTGTTTTCATCCCAAAGGTCCAGAGGAAGAAATGACCATGTAGATACTACAGCCTGAGTGCAGCATAATGGGAAATGGCGACTGGAGTGGAGCTGGTCTGCAGCCTTGAGAGCAGCCATCCTGCAACTTATTACCTGGTCAGGGACACCTCAGTCATCAGAGGCATTCTCCACTGAGTCTGCTGAACACACGCTAGATTCTTCTTAACCCCTTAGGTTGGAATTTGAGTTTTCTCCCTTGCACTTTTGAAGCAATTACACAATTCCATTTGGTAGACAGAGTGGAGCAATAAAATAATAAACAATGGGTGACATGACAAACAGCGATTTCTATTCCAAGAACCAAAGAAATGAGGTCAACCATGCAGGAGAGTTTGGGTGCTCGCTACAGGATCTGCGCTCCCTCATGGAACTCAGAGGAACAGAAGCAGTAGTAAAAATTAAGGAGACTTATGGGGACACAGAAGGCCTCTGCAGACATTTAAAGACATCACCAACAGAAGGTAAGTGCATTTCTCTTTCTTCATTTGAGTCTGAGGTTATGATGGCTGGCAAGAGTCATGTAAAGGACTCCATTTAAAGTAAAAGGTGGAGGAAGATAATCTTGCTTCTCTTCTGAACTAGGACTCAAATAGCACTCCTATTATTCCCAGCAATAGCAATATACCACTATAGAAGAAAACCACCTCTGAAAAGGGAAATGAAGAAAGACCTGGACAGCTTGCTTGTCAAATATGGCTACTTGTTAAAGCCAGTAAGATAGTGTAAAAATAGTGCTGCATATTCAAATTGTGAATGTGCTAATTCAATTTTAAATAGCAGACAAATAACTAAATGAGAAATTCAGCTCCAATTTTATAGCAAAAAGAAATGGCATTCTGAGGATGTATGTTTTTGACTTGTGTATGGTTTTTGGAGAGCAAGAAAAGAGTTATTTTATAGGAATTGTTATACTAGATGGATATCTAAAAATATGAAGAGAACTTTAGGTTAAGAATATGAACTGATAATAGACCAATATACAGTATATATATTCTTATGACTAATCTTGACTTTTGGTAATACTGTAAATAATTTTGCATAGGTTACTATTTGACTTTGAGTATTTACTTTTTCTATTGGTATTTGCAACATTGGGCTTTAATCCATTTAATCAGCTGAGTCATTCAATAGTCTATTCTCATAAATTGCCCATAACATTCAACACTTCACTGTGCTTTCATATCTAAAAGGGGCAGGAAAACATTAGGTTCATAGCACTGTCTTTGAATCTATCATATTTATTGTCTTTTTCTTCTCTTGAAAAATGCAGTCAAGAATCACTCATTCATTTTGACTTTTTTTTTCTTTTTCAGGGAGATAGAAGTGTTAGTTTAATGTTTGATTCTTTATTTTAAAGTAATCTTCTAGAGTTAATCATTTAGGGTATGTCTAGACATTGCAAATGAGGTCGACATTGCAAATGAGGCAGGGATTTAAATATCCTGGGCCCCATTTCCATAAAAATGGCCACCGCGTTTTTCCAACTCAGCTCTTTGTCGGTAAAAAGTGGCAGTCTAGAGGGGGATCTGTCGAGAAAGAAAGCCTTTTTTGACACATCCCGTATGCCTCCTTCAAGGAGGTTTACAGGATCTGTTGAAAAAGGCTTTCTTTCTTGACAGATCCCCCTCTAGACTGCTGCTTTTTGCTGACAAAAGTGCTGAGTCTAGCAAATTTTCTGTTTAACCCTTGGTCAGGTCCTGAGGTTGCCAGACTAAAGAGGTTCAGCCTGTATCATGTAAAGAGGTATTATAAGCTTTTTCAAGGAAAAGAGGCCTCAGGAAATGATATGTGTTTGTCTTACATACATCCTTCATACGCCTACACATGCTGCTTTTCAGTTGTCTGGTATCAGTATTGGTCAAGCGTTGGTAACCGTGATAAAATTTCATCAGCTTAGTACTGATTTATCAGGTAAACTATCAAAAATAAGCAACACGTTCTAAAAGGACCACATGTTTACATATCATGATGTACTATAGGCGAAACCATTAAATAAGGAAACCGAGGAGAAGACCTTGGTGTGATACAGTACATGTTAATTTACAAATATGGCAATGCTTTTGAGATTCATTACTCAGTACACCTGTTAAATATTTGTGGAACTCTACAGACCAGATCTGCAGCTGTAGTCAGTAGAACTTCATGGACTGAAATGGAACTTTGCCAGTTTAACCAGGTGAAAGCCTGGCCTAGGTATACTTCAATAGAATTGTCAATGGCTTTTTCTGTGAGGGTACATCTACACTAGCCTCCCAGATCGATACAGGGAGGCTAATGAGAGCAACCAAAATTGCAAATCATGCCCGAGATTTAAATATCCTGCGCTTGATTTGCATGTTCCCGGCCGGTCGCCATTTTAGAAAGTGACTAGCCCGAAGTAACTGCCCGCGTCTACATGTGGCAGTGAAACGGGATTCTGATTTAAAGCCCCTAAATCGAATTAGCTGGTAAACCTCATTGCAGGAGGAATACCAGCTAATTGGAGTTAGGGCTTTAAATCGGAATCCTGTTTCACTGCCGCATGTAGACGTGGGTAGTTACTTCGGGCTAGTCAATTTCTAAAATGGCGACCGGCCAGGAACATGCAAATCAAGAGTGGGATATTTAAATCCCGGGCTTGATTTGCAATTTCGGTCACCCTCATTAGCCTCTCTAGATCGGCCTATGGGGCTAGTGTAGACGTATCCCAAGCTATGAAACACAAGAGGGACATTATTCTTCATACCTAGACTGCACAACAATTAAGCACGGGGAGGGGTTCTCCGGGCTTATGGGAAACTGACTTTTCTGCTTTATAACTCAGGGTAGGAGGAGTAAGGTGCAAAGAGCAGGCAGTTTGCAGCACTGACTCATGTCCTCAGGAATGTCAGGTCCCAAATGTATAAAGGACAAGCACTGGGCAGGGGAAGCATCTTTGTTCCGCACAGCACAAACCCAGCAGCAGCCAGGAGCAGCAGAGGCAGAATTGTGAGACAGCATGCTTTTCAAAGCACTGGGAAGGGATGGCAGAGGTGGGAGCTGTAATGAGGAAGGGTGAATTAGCAGAAGCAGGTCACATTTCAAACAATCACAGGGGGGAGGAAGGGGGAAAGGGAGGTAGTTTAACAGCTTCATCGTGCATGGAGGGGGATCCAGGTGCAATTTTTTATGGCTGTGAGTAGGACACTGCTCAGGGGTCTGCAACTTCACTGGAATGGGAACAACCAGAAGCAGCAGGTTCAGTATCGGGCCGTCCTGGTGGAGCCCAAGAGCTGCAGGGGGACCCAAAGGAAACAGTACGCAGCAGGAGTGTGAGGTGCTTAGCAGGATGGGGGCTGCTAAAGGGCCCGAGTGGTGGGATGAATAATCCCAAGCAGCCTCAAGGACTGAGGGAGGTGGTTGGTTGAGGTGAAGTATCGACACCGGCAGGCCTGCTGCTGGGAGAGAAGGAACTAAAGGGGCAATTACTCCAGGCCCAGTGATTTTAAGAGGACGAGGCACTTGGCCATCAGCAGCGGCTGGAGCCCTGGCTCCCTTTGAATGGCTGTCACAGCTCTGCTCTGGTGCTCCATGCGGTTCTGAGGCTAAGAGGGAGGGAGCGCATGCCATGATCCGGACAAAACTGAGGGCTGCTTGCTGCCAGTCCCACCCTTCTGCTCGAGGCCTTGCAGATCCAGCTCCCCACTCATTGCTCTGGGGCATGGGGTGGCTGTCAGCCCCACTACATGCATGCAAGAGAAGAGGCAGTGTGGGTTAATGGGCCAGCCAGCAGTGCTGTGCGGCATGTGCTTTGTGAGGATGTTGCTGAGATTGTTTCCACAGCTTTCTGGGGCCTGGACGTGGCAGGCTGGCTTAAAGTACACAACTCCAGCTATGCAAAATGTGTAGCTGGATTTGGCTTGCCTTAAGCCAAGCCACCACGGCATCCACGCTGCGGGAACCTGACGGGAGCGCGCTCTCCTGACAGCTTCCCTTACTCCTCGCAGAATGAGTACCAGATGCTAATAGAGGCTGCCCTCAGTGTTTGATTTAGGGGTCTATATTAGACCTGCTAAATCGAACACTAGAAAATCAACGTCCAGAGGGTCAATATTCTCTGTAGTGTAGACCTGCTCTGGGGCTTCAAAAGTGCACAGGACCACACAGAACTAGGACATCTTTCTCCCCTGAACACATAGAATGGGGGCTGCATCCTCTGTAACTTCTGCAGCTGCTCAGGAAAGATTCAGATACTGTTCAGCTAATGAGCAGAGTGCCCACAGCTAGGTTTTGTTTCTGGTGGTGATGCACATTCGCACATGTCTCAGTGCATATAAACTTGTTCTTCACATGGATGGAAAGATTAAAGGGAACATTTGGGGGGGGGGAGGGTAAGTCTTTTTCCAGGGGTGAGTGTGACCTTACCCAGACAGGGTTTGGTGGGATGTTTGGTTCAGGTCCCACCAGGCCTCCCAGATTCCCAATGGGTGGCAGTTGCAAGGGTCACAGGGTATGTCTACACTACAAAGTTAATTCAAACTAACAGCCGTTAGTTCGAATTAACTTTGATAGGCGCTACGCATGCAAACCGCTAGTTCGAACTTAATTCCAACTAGCAGAGCGCTTAATTCGAACTAGGTAAACCTCATTCTATGAGGACTAACGCCTAGTTCGAATTAAGTAGTTCGAATTAAGGACTGTGTACTTAATTCGAACTAGAGGGAGGCTAGCCCTCCCCAGCTTGCCCTGGTGGCCACTCTGGGCACCACCAGGGAAACTCGTCTGCCCCCCTCCCGGCCCCGGAGCCCTTAAAGGCTGCCAACACCTAGCCAGCAGACCCTGCACCTGGCACGGCATGAACCAGCCACCCGCTGCCACCCAGCCCTCCGCCTCTTCCTGGGACCAGGCTGGCGGCTCCCGGGAGCTTGCCCAGGTCCTCAAGAGGCGGGCGCCCACCTGGTGTAGTGCGGAGATCGTGGACCTCATCCACGACTTCCGCACTAGGCACAGGAAAGTGGCCATCTAGGGCAGGACAGCTGCCAGCCTGGCCACCCAGGAGCAGG